TTATCAAATAAACGCCTGGCTACTAATCATACATCTTGTGAACTCGGGAGATCGATTGCGACGCCAGGGTCTTCGTTACTCGGACGCCCACCATGAATCTAAATGCAAACCTGATCTCCGCAGAGTTAATATTTTCCGGACGCCATTTTGATTGAAGATTCCTTCCTGATCCTTGTAGTGGCTAATGAACAAACATCAAAAGAACAAAGGCTTGTTTTGATTTCTCTTCCAAATACAATTTGCCTGTTTATTTAATTTTTTTTTCTGCTAATTTTCCGGGCGGAGTGACGCACTTTTCAGACTAAAAATCTGAACAGCGTTCAAATGATTCAACCGGTGATAGCTTTGTAGCAAATAAATATCGAATCACTGATTAGGTTTATGGTATTGAAAGGAGTTCATCGTCGTTTATTTTTTCTATTGTCATATTGAAAAATACAATGTGTTTTTTTCCGATGTTTTACTTAGATTGGGCTTAGTAAGGAACAAAGCAAAATGAAAATACCAGGAGATTACGTTTTGCTGATTTTTCAAGCAAAAAAAGAGTATCTGCCGAGAAAATCAGCATTCGAAACATTTTTTAATGGGCTCAAATTGGCTTAGGCGATCATGTATCTTTCGATACATGACTGACGAGGCAGAATTTTTCCGCAGTAGGTTGACATTTTTTTCTGCGATAAACCAGTTGCTATCCAAGGCTATAGAATCCGGTCTCTCCTTCTATTTACCCATATAGGGGGGGGGGGCGAAGAAGAGGATTCATACATTTCCCAAGGGTATTAACACGTAAGTGAATGTAATGGATTCGACTGGAATTCGAACTCGGCTCTCCGATTCCTCAATCCATTACCCCACCGTACCTCCACCGAGTCTCTAAACATCACAAAATGAAAAAATACATGAGAAATTGATTTCGCAATAGTAATTTTAATGATGAATGTAGAGCTACATTGGATAGCCTTGATAACTGAACCAGAGGTTCGGTTTACCATGGGAAAAGTTAATCAATACAACTAAGAATACAACATAGTTGTATATTTATTAGTATTACCTGATGTTGGTATTTGAGCCAATTAAATATATTTCGAATGCTGATTTTCCATTACCTGATGTTGGTATTTGAGCACATTAAAAAATATTTCGAATGCTGATTTTCCATTACCTGATGAAAGAAATGGCAATCTATTGCGGGAAAAATCTGCCTCGTCAGTCACATGTTGTGGCACCATTTACCAAGGCAGAAAAAGAAAAGAAAGAAAAGAAAGGAAAGGAGAGGCGAAGACCCAAAGCGTGGATGATAAGCAGAACACCACGGCTAAGAGACAATGGATAAAGGATATTTTGATAAGTAACAAATGGCGAAAGAGTGTCATTACAATGGCAGAGAAATTCTGAGTGGATAAAGGAATCGGGTGTGTTCTGGCGACAGGCTGTGTTATCTGGGATACATAAACAAACCGCTGGTGCGGGAAAGCATCTGATTAAGCAAACCTCAGACGACTAGCCAAAGAAAAGTCCAATTGAAAACGTTAATTTTGATAATTGACAAAACACAGGTGAAACTACAGGGCTTTGGATAGATATGAAAAATTAATTGTGTCAAAAGCCGCACACGATGTGTCCACTGACCGATTTCTTTCGACGGAACATCTTTAGCCTGCGATAATAAAACTATGTTATCAGAAATGTGTACCGAAAAAAATGAATGGGAACTTAGAAATGTTTCTTTTCGAGGCGACGTCTGGCCGTATTAAAAAGCCACCCATTCTGATAATTAGCGATAAGATGACTGACGAAGCCCAGGTGAAAAACAAGAGTTATGACCACCGTCGTTCGTATTGTTCTGTTTGCGGCTAGAGACAATGATAACTGCGATTAAAGGGAAGAAGAGGAAAAGAAAAAGATAATTTTTTTTTTTGCTTAAGCAAGATATTTTTTTTCTGAAACAAAGCCGCGGAATCGTACACGCCCGACTAAGACATCATTGGTCGAGTGGTGATCACGTGACGCACGAAGGAGGCTGTCGCCGCCCATCTAGAGGATGGGTATGAGAAGTTGCCACGAAGAAGTGGGGAGGGCAGTTCACGCCCCTCTGAAGTATGGTGAGAAGGTGGGAGTAAGAGAAGCCTCCCAAAAATGGAAAAAAGTGGAAAATTCCTAACCAGAAATAAAAGAGGTGGATATGTATTTAGAATTATCGAGGAACCCCCGGCGTCGACAAACCCACCCCGGTTTGGGTCGGCGTCCATATAAGCGAAGTCGCAGCGAGCAGAAATCAGTTTCAGTTGCAGTTGAGTTCGAGTTGAGTTCCAGTTCGGTTCGAGAGAATTCCCGCCTCGCAGATAGCTGACCAAGATTCACGCAAATTCCGAACTCCTCTTCAATCCAAGAACAATTAATTTGAAGAGCGACTTAGATCCAGACCACCAAAATAGGTTTTTTTTTCGACTTTCGCCGAAGACACACCGAAAAACCAATTTCTTAAAGAGCAAACAACTTGAAGCGTTAAAACTCGCCTAACGGAAAACAACGTGTCACAATCCATAGAACGGGTCAGGAAATAGACGCAGTCCTATGTATCCAACAACTAGACATAAAGTTTGTTATCCTTTTTTTTGATACCTTGAATTTGTGAGTTATCATTTTCTTTTCTTTTATGCATATTTGTGTGGTGTCACCCCCGTTTGAACCCGATTTGCATTACGGCCCCAACTACTAATTGATCTCGTCTGCCTAAGATCAATTCACAACGTGGGTGGGCAGACTGGAGATCAATGCAGTTACTTTGGTAACCAGGCGTTGGAAGCGAGTTGGGAACGACGAGGCTGATATCGAATCTAACCAGATTCCCATCCGAATCACCAAAAGGTTAGAACGTCACATTTGGGTGCCGCGACCGATACCAAGCCAGTTGGTCGTCACAGGACGAGACAACACGACTGACGCGACAGGCGGACGTCACGTTTGAAGCGGCGACACCCGAACGGAGCAGCGAGGAGCGAGCGAAGGCTGTGTTTAGGGACGTCGCAGCTGACGTCGCGGCCAAGGACGTCACAGCTGGCGCTGCGACAAGGACGTCACAATGTCGAAAGATACATTATTGCCTAAGCGTGTATCACGCATGGCACATAACTGACTGAATGTATACACATTCATAGCGATATTAAACCCCTGAAAACGGTGTCAGATGAAATTGAATGTACTTTGTAAAATACAAATTATTTGAACTGAAATTTTGGTATTTTTCTTAATCACTTTTCTACAGTCACTAAGAAATTAATTCGTGGATTTCAAAGGATTAAAACTAAAATAAATAGACATAATACGTCTAAATTATTTAACAAAACCTGCTTGAACCTATATCGATAATGAATTAAGCCCGCTGGCTGCTGGCGTTTGTATACCTCCGTATATAATACGCCGATAGCTTAGGGGTATTACCTCTGTCTGATATCAAATCAGTCGGGTTTCGATCCCGGCTTGAAGCAATCGGATATCTAGTCACATAGATGAGCTGTGTACAGCGAAACGGGCTTGTATGTGGATGACTATATATGTATTCAATAAATTAATTCAAGCGACTTATCTTTTGTCTAGCTCCACACTACTCATCAGTCAAAGACTTCAGTAAATCTGAGACGCTGATGAATGGTCAAACGCGAAACTCCGAAGTCGGCCAAGTTGCTTGAACATTTAATAATCTATTAAATATTGTCGCTCCAGTTATATATTGAGAACTTTCTTGGAAAACATTTTGCTGTCCTTAAAAGAACTTTTAAGGCCGAGTATTTTAACGTATTTTTGTCCTTATTATTACAAAAAGATGGACTCTCCTTTCGTTTTCAACATATCAGGATCCAGCAACTCTTAGAAACGAACAACCAAACTGCCTGAACAACCAAACTGAATGTTTTATATGATTCTCGTGGTGAAGGCTTCTGTAGAATCAACCACACTTTTCAGAAGAACCGAGGGCTGAAAACTGGTGTACATAGTGTGGCACAGGGTCTCAAAAGGACTCTCCTCCTTTGAATTCAGAGATTTCCTTCCCTTAGCCTGGTTACAAGTCATGGCTAAAAAGCCAAACGTCCTCTAGTATTTAACGAATAACTAGGGTAAAACGAAAAAATGGGTCCATGCCTTTCCCAAAGCTATTTGCGCATAAGTGAATGTAAAGAACTCGACTGAATTCGAACTCAGCTCCCGAATTCTCATTCCGTTGTTCATTACACCACTAGCAATCAATATATATATATATATATATATATATATATATATATATATATATATATATATATATATATATATATATATCATATATATCATAATAAATAATCTTATAAATATAAGTATGTATACTCATCCGGAGAAACCTTAGGTGTTTTGGCTTGTAAATGAACAAACCAATACCCAAGGAAAAGTAAGGAATAAAAAAGAAAGAACTAAGAACATGTAATTGAGGCGAAAACAATCGTTCAGAATCCAAGCTCAGAGTCCAAAGAAAAAAAACCCAAAACGAGTAAAGCAAAAATAAAAAAGTAAAGTGCTCAATACACTCAGTAGAGCAAATCTAACTATGAACCTAAAGAGCCAGGAAAACCTACCTTGGATTCACCTACGCGGGTCGTCAGGGTACGCCGTGGTTATATATATATAATATCACTTGATGATTAGTAGGGATAATTCCAAGGAGGATATAAATCCAAAGAGAGCTCAATGTAAACTACAGAGCAAATATAATAATGAATACAGAATCCTTAAAAATCCATCAGGTCAGGTTATAATTTATTTCGTTTTAAATTTATGAAAAACTGGTCTGAAGAGCTGAACCTGAGATCCACGAAATAAATTATAACCTGACCTGATGGATTTTTAAGGATTCTGTATTCATTATATATATATATATATATATATATATATAAGAATATATAACATGAAAAATATCAAACATAGGTCAATAGGTAAATTTCTATTTCATGAGTGCTCTAAAAAAGCGACTCTCAATCTTCAGGAACTATGCGTGTGTGCGTGTGTGTGTGCTGGTATGTGTGTGCGAGAGAGAGAAACAGAGAGAGAGAGAGGAAACGGAGAGAGAGAAACATAGAGAGAGAGAGAGAAACGGAGAGAGAGAAAAGAGAGAGAGACAGAGAGAAAGAGAGTGGGAAACAGAGAGAGAGAGAGAGAAAGAGAGAGAGAAACAGAGAGAGATAGAGAAACAGAGAGAGAGATAGAGAAACAGAGAGAGAGAGAAACACAGAGAGAGAAACATAGAGAGAGTGAGAAGCAGAGAGAAACAGAGAGAGCAAGAAACAGAGAGTAAGAAACAGAGAGAGGGTTAGGGTTAAGAGAGAGAGAGAGAGAGAGAGAGAGAGAGAGAGAGAGAGAGAGACGTAATGTCTGACGTGAAGATTGCATAATCAAGATATCCAGAATGATTATTATCATAATTCAAATAAGCCTTCTGGCTTATTTTAATAAGGAGAGAGAAACGTCCTGGAATTTTGAGGAGAGTTAATATAAGTTGATCTGCAGCGTTAACTATCTGTTATTGATTCTAAAATTGAAGAAACCTGTAGAATGGGCCAGTCGAAACGTTGTGATAGAAAAGAAAGCTAGATAAAAATTTTATGGATGAAACAAATTAAATTTTTGATTCGTGTAACTTACTGATGGCCACAAACAAATTAAAAAGTCTGCTATCAATATGAGACAAAATAGATTGACAGAAGACAGCAAAGAAGGAATACACTTCTCTCCTGTGTTGGAAGAAAAAACCCCGTCTGATAAATTTAATGCTCGCTTGCGTTGTCAGCCGGATAGAGATTTACGGGCTTTTCCAACTGGGTCCATCCAAAATGGCGGCCTGGCTGCGTCAGAACAAAATAAAGATAGATGCTAATTATTAAATATTGGCGTTCCAACTTAAAGTCACAACCAGTAATCGCTCGTAGAAATGTGCGTAAATCTTTTTATGAAGAATGCAGGGAGACGATAATGGCGGCAAGTTTTGTCACAGAGAGAAAATTAATTTGACTTTATGTCCGCGATAAGCAAAACGGCCAAAATTTAGGGAGGCACTTCGCTAAGTATATTTTATTATCTGAAAAGAGAAATGGGGCGTGATTGAACATTTTTCCAACAGCTTCTTTCGGCGCAGTGTTTAGTATATGTATATAGATGTGAAATTAAGTTTAAGTGAATATACGTGTCATGTGATCTCTCTAGGTTGCTTAACCAAGAGATTTAGAAGTATTAATTAATCGTGTTTCGGGTAAAAATTACATCAAAAACGATCCATAGACGTTGTCTGGTAAAACAGACATCCTATCTAGGGTTGAATTTATCTATCAATATTTCCAATTTATTTATTTCTAAAATTATTTTATAATGATATTTACCGATGTTAGCTGTGTATGGCACAAGAACAAAAGTGTGGGTCATTCTGTGAGAACCGCACTCCTTTCAACAGCCTTTACTTATGGTTGAGAGAAAATCCTTGAAACAACAGACACACACACACATATATATATATATATATATATATATATATATATATATATATATATATATATTACATAGAATAGAAATCCAAATTACCTCATTCGAATAGCTATTTCGACCCACAAGACTGATTTGTAGTTCTTATCAACTCAGAGGGCTGAAGAAATAAAATATAATAGGAGTTCAAAATTTATTTAAAGAATAAAAAGACCCCCCCGAGTTGGTAAGACCTATAAGAAAGTTTTGTGGGCTGAAATAGCTATTCGAATGATGTAATTTTGGATTTCTATTCTATGTAATACACACACACACACACACACACACACACACACACACACACACACACATATATATATATATATATATATATGTGTGTGTGTGTGTGTTGGATTTTTTTCCTATCTAATTTATATGCTGTTATAATAAATACATTGAGCTCTTTATGGATCAGTTTTAATATTTTATACTATTAGGATTCACTTAGATTATATACCAACTGATTAACCCCTATATATATATATATATATATATATATATATATATATATATATATATATATATATATAATAAAAAGACTCAAACATTAATATTACATGGTTATAATTTATTACATTGGAATCGTTATCACGATCCAATTTATCAGACCTACAAATTCAAAAAGAAATCGGAAAATATAACTCCGGGTAGAAAAAACAAATTTTTAGTGAGAGTATATGTGTGGGAATGGGAAACAAGTGTGAGAGTGAAATGTATGAAAGCTCTAGAGAGGGGGTGTAATAAAAGAAAGAAGAACAGGAAGGCCTAAAGGTGAAGGTGGGGATAAAAATTTAACAGAGAGAAGGTTTAAAGAGAGGAGTTAAATAACAGTCTAAATGAGATACAGTTAAATACGAATTATTTTTCGATGCATAATTCGCTACCGAATCGCTGACCTAAATTAAAATTAAAAACAGACACCGGAAAAGTGTGTATTTTTTAATTATATTATTACTCTGTCCTGGACAATGAGTTCTACCTGGATTCTATCCTCTTGAAATCTATCTATCTATCTATCTATCTATCTATCTATCTATCTATCTATCTATCTATCTATATATATATATATATATATATATATATATATATATATATATATATATATATATATATATATATATATATATATATATATATATCACATCCGTAAGTGGTAGGAATTATTCCAAGGTGATCTTTTTTTAATATAAAAATATTAAAAAGTCAAATACATGAAGAGTGCTCAATGTATAAATTTATATACAGAGCAATATAAATAATATTATTTATATAAACTTCCTTTTTTCCTCTCCCCACTTTTCTCTCTTCAATTATGCAATCCCCCCCCCCTAAAAAAGAGAAGATTTTTAATGTCAAGTTAATACAGTCTGACAGTTACGTTTCATATGCATACCAAGAATAGCGAGCCTTGTTATCGCATTTTGTTTATGATATGTCCCGGAAAGGGATATATTTGTTCGAAGTAGCAAAGTGGTTTTGGATTACTGTAACCGGGTAGGACAATCTAGCAGGTAACCGTAATGAACTGGTCCTCGTCGTAGTGGTAGGCAATAGGCGCAGTCAGTAGACATAGCCAATAGGTGTCGTCCTGTCCCTCACATCAGTCTGTATTTATGGCTGACACTAGCCAATCATATTACTATGAGGGGGAACCTAGGTGTATACATATTCATTACATCAGTTTACTAATGAAACAAACCAGTTGGGCTTACCGTTAATTCCAAAGGAATTGTCAATGCCCCTGATTTACTATCTGCCTTATTTATTTATAATGCTGATATCCCACCGTATAGTCAAAGAAAGGAAACTAAAGCAGTTGTTTCAATTAATTTGCACAAGAGTGTACAATACAAAAGGGATTGTCATGCCGGCCTTCTCCGTATGCTCAAGAGCTACGATGTCATGGGACGAATATTTGACTTTCCTAAAAAATCGTTTAATGAAATTCGTGTTGAAAGGGCACGATTCTAGATTATTTCATACTAATGCGGATGTCTCCCGGGTCTCTATCCTTGAACCTACGTTGTTTGTGATCTTCATCACCAGTGTCCCTGATGTCGTCAGCTCCCAACTAGGCATTTATGCAGATGACAAAACTATTTACTCCTTTCTTAGTAGAAAGTTCAACAAATACGACAAAGTAAGACTGGCAACTGATTATGAAAAGGACCTCCAATCAGTCGCTAACTGGGTTAAGAAATAGCTTGTAAATTTTAATGCCCCCAAATTAATTTTAATTTTAATCTCCCAAACAAAACTACTTTTATTTAATCTCCACAGATAATCTTTTGTGTCTGCCATCATCAATTGTTGCATCTACTGCTAGGAAAGTTGTTCCACTGTGTCGTGCCAGAAAATCCTTCTCACCAGAATCCATCTTGCACATTTATAAATCTATCATTTGCCCGCGAATTGAATACTGCTGCCACATCTGGTCTGGTGCTCCTGTTGCATATCTTAAGATTCTTGACAAAATCCAAAGAAGTCTCTGTAAGGCAAGATGTTGGTCTCTTTTGTGGCGTAGCTTCCCTCTGTCTTTTCTATCGATATTTTCATGGCAACGTTTCTGATGAGCTTTTATCTCTACATGAATTTAAGCGTGCTCATAGATTGACAACTAGGATATCTACCAACCGCCCCACGCGGTCAGATGTAACACAAGGCCAAATTTAATGTTGGGTATCCGAGGCTGTAGGCTCGGCCAAATATTCCCCTAATAGATTGGCAACTAGGCCGACAATGTGATTAAGAATGACATTATTACTAAATGTTTGTTCATTATTCGATATTGTAGGAGACTAAGAGATTGATTTAGCACGGTTTTCTGATGGTAGACATCTTGTATGGATGAGAGCATTTGTTTTGATAGTTAATGAGACAGAAGTTATTTCAAGTAGATGTATTTTTTTATGTTGATGAAGTTCTGATGATTATTGTCGATAAGGACATCGAGAAAACGTTTGGTTTTTTTTTTATTGATGCTGTGTTCATATGTGAAACTAAATACAGGATTGCTTTCAAATTTTTGCTTTAGTTTTTTTGTAAATGGCAAAAATCATATACCACATCTCCTCTCTGTTGGAAGACGGTGTCTTTGTGAATAATAAAAATATAAAAAAAAGCGTCAACCTATATTGATCACACCGCAACAAAAAAGAAACTGATTAGTCACCTCTCGGAGCAAAGTGCTATATATAAACATTTAACCTATATCTACCACTTACCACTAGATTATGGTCAACAGTATAATATTACCCTCTATCAATTCAATTGCAAACGAACTATTCTTTTCACGTTAAAAGACGGCAACCCAGAATCAATAAAATCGTTTTAATCTCGGTGCACACGTGTTCAAACTGCTTTTGAACGGCACGGTCATCTAAGTCACATGACGTTATAATCTGTTTCCACCACAACGGTAGGTGAATCCATGTTCTTTTCAAACGTCGGATTGTTAACAAGATAAACACGACACTGGCTATTTATTGACTCTTACCTAATTTCTATTCTTATTCTTATTCTACCATACTTTCTTGTAAACGAGCAATGATTGTCAAAAGTACTAGGAATATAATTTAGATAGATAGATACAAAGAGAATAAGGATAGATAGATAGGAACAGAATGGAAATAGATAGATAAATAGATAGATAGAAGGATAGATAGATAGATACAAGCAGATTAGAGATAGATACGAACAGAATGGACATAGATAGATAGATAGATAGATAGATACGAGCATATTAAAGATAGATACGAACAGAATGGAGATATATATATATATATATAAAGATAGATAGATAGATAGATAGATAGATAGATAGATAGATAGATAGATAATGTGGGCATAGAGACAAGGACGGCAATTTCTGAAATGGTCTACATATATATATAGCCTGCACAGGCGGAGTGATTCATGGTTTGTTGATTGACATTCTACTTGCCGTGTTAAATTTTATGTCAGTACTGTCTCTATTTATAAACACACTCTGGCCAATATTGAACACCTACTAGCCCATAAATATAACCATTATTGAATAACATATATATATATATATATATATATATATATATATATGCTAATACCCTTGGTAATGGTATTAATACTCTTCTTCCTCCAGCTATGGCAGGACAAAACTGGGTTCTACAACTTTGGATGGCAACTGGTCTAGGAGAAGGACAACTCTGAATTCAAAACCTGCGGAGGGTCGTTTGGGGACCTTGTGGTACGTAGTGCACCATGCCTGTATTCGGCCCTTCAAAAAGTGTGGATTGTCCTGCACCAAACCTTCACCACTATAATCAATTCTCAAGAGTGAACATTGAAGTCAACACTCAGGGCCGACAGACTGTCTGTCGCGTCTGAGTGTTAACTTCAATGTTCACTTTTACATTTACATAAACTATCTCTGATATTGAGCATTTTTATCCCATAACTATAGCATAACTTAAATTATATTTCTTCATATATATATATATATATATTAATCGATATTACCCCATGTAAGGCAGTACACCAAGTAAGACATAATGGGTGACAGGGTGTGGATGAATTATGAACAGAAACATTAATAATGAGCGGTATGAGGAAAGCGTAATCAGGAGGACAGTAGATAACGATTGACGTTGAATTTCAATTTTTGCAGATTAATGTTGTCTGGAAAGCTTAGAGCCGGAAGTGGGTTCGGCAAACGAGAAGTGCGAAAAAAAAGAAGCTTTTTGCGTCGAGCGTTTTGTAAGTTTTTATTCATTTCTTTTACGTGTTTACATTTTTTACTTTTCAGGACTGACTGGTTAGAGAAATTTTCTTTTCGGCTATTACGTGGGTAACTCAAAAATTTTCTACTCTTTCACCATAACATATCTTTAGACAAGATTCCGGATAATTTTTGACTCTCGTAGACATTTTAAGGTGCCGGTTAATTTTCCGTTTAACAAGGAGTGTTAGATTAGTTTGTTTTGTTTCTGTTATTGTATTACATGAGAGCAAGTCGTAATTTCATTCTAGGTGGAGGTTTTGTTTCCTAACATATCTAAGATACCTTGGTCCTGTTCGAAAAATGTGTTATTTAGAGTGGATCTTTTTTCTTTTTTAGTTGTTCTCATATCTTCAAGCCTTTTCTTACAAATAGATGTTCTTAATTTATAAATATACATATACAGATTAATTAAGGCCCGAACAGTGTCCAAGGGAAATCTTTCTTGTCATAGATTACTTGAAATTATTTTCAGTTTCATATTCAAATGTAAACAAAGTAATTTTGTAAAGAAGTAATGGAATTTTTATTTATTAATTCGACAGATTTTTATAACTTTAAACGTTATTTTTAGTGGATACCCATATTTGAGTAAACGCTATTTTATTTATTAAACAGTATATTTATTTATTTTCGTCTACCGGCCTGAATATTCGAGAAAACTTATTGAAGAAACATGAGCTCTCCGGCAGGATTCGAAACTGCACCTACTCAAATATAATTATCCACTAAAAATAACGTTTAAAGTGATAAAAATCTGTCAGATTAATAAATAAAAAATCCATTGCTTCTTTAGGAAATTACTTTGTTTATGTTTTGGTAGGAGACTAAGCAGATATTATAATTTGCAGGAATCTGTAACTTTATCGGCAAAGTTTCTCCTTGGCCGTGTCGGTTAAGGCACTCGGATCCACACACACACACACACACACACACACACACACACACACACACACACACACACACACACACACACACACTCTCTCTCTCTCTCTCTCTCTCTATATATATATATATATATATATATGTATGTAAATATCTGTTGATAATTGATAGGGATAATTGCAAGTAGGACATGAATCCAAAGAGAGCTCAATGTAATAAACAGAGCAATAAAATAATTATAATTACAGACGATCCTTAAAAATTCATTCGGTTATAATTTATTTCGTGAATACAAAACTATTCATCTCTTTAGATCGAGTTTTTTTTTTTTAAATAAATGAAGTCAATGTGTACAGACAAAAGAAAGAGGGAGAGAGAAAAAAGAAAATCTTTTTCCTTTTTTCTTTTTTTTCCCCGCCTTCTTTCTAGAGGAAAGCAGTAATAACAACAAAATTGCATTATGAGATCTGGTTAAAAATGATTAGTGAGACATTAAGTTTACAAGTCAGAAAAATTCATGCACTCAAGGACACGTGGCCCAGTGGATAAAAGCGTTGAATTGACCCAGAGACTAATGAGTTCAGTACCTTTGTTGTTGTTGTTGTTGTTGTTGTTGTTGTTGTTCTTCTTCTTCTTCTTCTTCTTCTTTCGTGTTTAACCCCGGAAAGAATCTTTGGGTCACCGATCTGATGAACTGTCCACAATTCTCCGCCATCTGTCACGATGGTGTGCCAGAGCTTGGTTCCCCTGCTAATCGTTTCTTGATGTGCTTATCATATGCGTGTCGTGGGCGTTTTGACCTGGCGGAGTCCATTCATCTTAAGGTTAGACCACAGCCGATGCCCTTCAACGACGTGGCTTGCCTTGGTCGCGAACACGTGGCTGCTGTGCTTCATTTGAGGAACCCTTCCGCCCTGGCCAGTAAGCTGCGCTGAGGATCTACTTTGCCCATTGGTGCCGTGTTAACACTACCCACTCATGTGGGTTTACCCGCCAGTTGGTTTACCGTGGCATGGCATCTTGGAACCATCACATGAGAAATTTAGGAGATGGTTGATGAGCAGTGATGTCTGTCCATCCTAAGGTGCAGCGTGCTAAAGACCAAAGGTACTACCGTTATCCAGAGTGATCGTATGTCCACATATAAAGCAACATCAAAATTAAATAACTCGAGTTGATACGAAATTTCAGTGAATTTGGCCATGAAAACATTACCTAGCTTAGTACCTAGTTTTCACTGTCTCCTTCGAATTAGTTGTTATGGACATATATGCTACGATCTCAGTGATATTTTCAAGATTTTCACCATGAAAACATTACCTACTTTAATATCTAGTTTTCACTGTCTCCTTCGAATTAGTTGTTTTGGACATATATGCTACGATCTCAGTGATATTTTCAAGATTTTTGAAGCAGTTTAACTGCATTGATTACCTCTTGTGATTCTGTTTAAACTTTCTCAGTTGTGTCATACAGACGCGATTTCAGTTGGAATTTTGAAGATCAGAAAAATGTTGTGGTTGATACGAATTGTTAAGGGAAGGAATGATTTATTCCTTTTTGAATTGGAGAAACCAGGAACACTTTCGATCGGTGCATAGGCAGGTGCATTTCCATAACGAAGAGTTCATTTTTCTTTCGTTTATTTGGACATTTGCGCCGATTACTCTCTTTTTAGCTTCTCATCGTGGAAAAATAATGTTTATTCTTCGACCAGATAGGTTGAATTCTATGGGAACAAGGCTTTATTCTTCAATAACGTCTGCTTTCACTTGCTAACGGCACAAGACAGATTTTCAAGAGAGAAAGAGGAAAAAATGCTTTCAATTCAGTTTATTTGAATATGGAATAATTTACATACCTTTTTTCTGAAATAAAACCAGAAGAAACTTCAACATTTTCTGTTAACACGATCAAAACACTAACCTGACACATATAGAAGAAATGATAAAAATCTATTTTTTCGCTTTTCGTCAAAAATTTCGTGACGCCATTATTAATCTTTTTAGTTTTAATCTTTAAAGAATGTAAAAAAAAAATGTGAAAAACGGACGCCATTTAACGGCTTTGTTCCCTCCAGGAATTAGAAAAGTATGCACAAAACACCGGCAAAGATATGCAGACATGTACAAGCAGTTCTTATGTTTTTTGTCTAATTTCAATTCCTGTTTATGTCTCGAACCATTCCAACTAGTTTATGTTAACGTTTAAATATGCCCGTCAGTCTATGTATAAATTTATATGGCGTACTTTTGTGAGATTAACATCTGTAACCAAAAATCCATTTAAGTTATATATAAAAATTTCATAAACTTTCTGCGACTGGAAAGAAAATTTGGAGAAAATTCTGATATAAATATGATTTTTGTCCAATAGAGAGAAACGGGGATATATGGTTTTAGAAGTTTAAAAAAGTCATGAAAAAAATCAACAAAAATCGATTTCAAGCGTCAGATATATTTGTTTTGTAGGCATTAAGGGATGTTTATTGAAATATTTGCATCAGTGATTAAATTTATTTACTGAAAGGTTAGTTTGTAAAAAGAAAAAAAAATAGTGGAAATAATATTTCTTTCTGTAAATACTTCCTGTCTTGATCGTGAACGATTTCTGTGTTTTAAAAGAAAGGTCCACGGCGAGTTAAAATAATTTAAATATTTCGCGAAAAAACATTTGTTGACTTGAATCGGAAAGCGTGAAGACAAAATAAAATATTGATTATTTTGGAGACATGTTCAAAAATATTCCAGCTCACAAAAAAAATAAATATTAAAAAATGTTTGAAATTTCCTGTTTTATTTTTTCTTAAATACATCGCACCTGAAATGTTGCTATTAAATGATATCGATGTTTAATAATGGAAGAATAAAAATTGCTGGAAATTTAATACAGCTTTGTTAATGAAAATATCATTTAGTAAACATGTATGCAGAGAATGTTACGCAAAAACCAGATCATTTTCTTTTAGATATTCACAGCTTGTCACTACAACTATTAAGAGGTCTTTTGACTGGTTCAAGTTATGGGTAAATAGCGGGACAGACTGGGTTCTTTAGCCTTGGGTTGCAATCGGTCTAGGAGAAAGTTAATGTAAATTCAAAATCGTATGTAGCCTTGGCGTAGCTCATACTATACAGATAAAAGAAAGGATCGTTTGCACAGGCTCGATGATTCCAACTGTAGTCGAAAAATGATAAGGAAAATAGGTTCAAGCTATTTGAGATAATTATCAGACGATAAAAATAATGCTTATT